CTTGTGCTGGCGACGGATGGCAGACTGAGTGCCATAAACCTACCCGGAAAAGCACCCACACAAGTTGTACCCAAATGTTCCCTTTGTTGAAGCCGTCGCGGTGAAAACCGGGCAGCAGCTGGAGACCGTTTTCCATAGAATGAAGTCAAGTATCCTGGTGAACTTTCGGCACAGACATGCCCAGAGCACAGCCAAGACCCCCTCCATTCCAGTGTCCGAGGAGGAACCTTGCTGCGGCAGATGGTCAAAACGGGATTGCTGCAAATGCACGCGTTGTCGCTCTGACCCAAATGGATCCACGGAGTTCAAACAATTTGGCCGGGACTAAAGCTTCTGTTGTTCAGTCAAAAATAAAACGATGTCACTACACGACTTGCGCCGAAAGTTGTGTCCAGGAGCCATCATGACACATTTTGCTATTCTACCTAACACCCACTAGGCGCGACTCAAGTACATGCAGTCAGCAGCACACGACAGCAGGCTGGGTCTCCACGAAGTAATCGCATGCCTCATCCAAGAACCAGGCAAATTCTGGAATGCAAAGAGAAACCCAAGCTGACATGACCGGCGCGGATAACTTGCCTTACAGCTTGCCAGCGCCTACAGCGCCTACTGCGAATGCGGTTTCATCCTCCGGTTCACGCTGCTTCGGTTTCAGCCCACGATTGAAAAGTAGAAAGTCTTAGGCATCTTGGCCGTCACTGCAGATTATGAACACATCTTGGCATGTCGCACTCATTTCGCACCCACTGAGATCCGCTGTCCAAGTCTCATACCGAGAACTGAAAACCGCAGCTGGCCTCTGTGAAGTAGGGAAGCATGTCTGTGAGCAGAGCTGCTCCAGAAAAGGCAAGGAAGCCGACATTCCCGAGCTTGTGATAAACCTTGGAAGCTTCATTAGACACCGAGGTCTGCTCATGCTGTTCCACCAACCCAATGACCTCGACAGGCCACACTGCCAAATGTCCATCCTCGATGGCTCGGCTACATTTCCGAAACTGAAACATCACCCAATCTCGCCTTCGAAAAGGTCCGAGGGGCCAGGAAGTTGGTACCCACGTTCTGAAAGCTGTGCCAAGCTTTCCTGGCAAGTCACGGGTCAGCCATAGCACAAGGCCTCGGCTTTTTCGCACCTAACGTCGGGGTCGACGGAGAAGTCCATGAAATTCACGTCGTCCTCGTGCAGGGGCATCACAAACTCAAGGCTCACGGCAACGGACCAAGTGGCTTTGCCTGCCACTCAATTAACGAGCAGAGCGAGCCAGATGCGTCCTGCGGTGGAATGCGGGAGGCAACCGGGTCAGCGGCGTAGTACCTGCGAACCCACGAAATTCCACGACGCGGCAGGCTGGCCGAGGCCCGTTGCAAGCTACTGCGTTCACAACCTCCGGGCTCAAATACCTAAGACCTATCGCCGAGCCCTGTGTAGAATCCATGTCTTGCGCAATCTCCTTGGCGGGTCCCCTTAGTCCAAGTTATCACCATGCCACTGCATCTGCCCAATGCCAAAGTTGTCGTTCTCGTCACCGCAGCCGGGATTTCCACAGACCCAAATGTCGTGGTTGCCATTCACCTCAGGAAACTTTGACTTCGCTGGAGTGGTCGGACTCATGTCGGACTCTTGTGTTCTTTGGCACTTTAAGTGAGAGAAGAATGTACTAGTAGTTTAACTGTGCGGTGACAACGCAGTCTGTGTAGCCTCGCCGCCTTCTCCGCCAATGCCAGGAAATTTCGTGATACGTAGGCAAACGCAAGAAGCAGACACAGCAAATTCCATGCCATCCTACACCGCAATGCATCCCCAACCGGCATGTTCAATATCCTTCATCCCCGATGGTCTCCAAGGGCCTGTCGCCACACCATGACCCTGTCACACATGAAACCATAGAGCCGCATTTACTCCTCCAATTCACAAACTCGAAGGCCTGCGCACTGTAGCCCAAACTCATGTTATCTAGGTCCCGCACCACAAGCATGAACCGCCTCTTGACATCTGGGGAGAGTCGGTCGAAGAAAGTCGTCGCCAACCTGGGACGAAACAGAGTAGCCGAAGTCCTAGTAAGGTCCTAGTATATTGCAAACACGCAACAACCCCCAAGTTCACTGAGCTTTACGCTTTCACACTCGGACTCGCTGCAAGCTGACATGGTGGGGATCGGCCCAAGTTTCTCACATTCGGAGTTTCCGGGCGGAGCATATATCAAATGTCTATAACCCTCACCCACACCGCCCAACCTCCGCTGCAGATTGGGGTTGGGGGTGTCGCCCCTTTGATACCCAACCCATGCTCCGTGCAGAAAGCAGCTATCTGCGCATCAGACATGAATTACAATGCTTAGTTACGAGGGTGTATGGCGATGGTGATGGTGACAGCCATTCTTTTGAAGGTACCGATGATGAAGATGACGACGA